CTGTAATATTGAGGGAACTGGTGCTCCCTGGCGGACCCGGCCATGATCGATAGCATTCGATCTGTACTAATAAGGACTTGACACGCATGATATTGATCACCACCCAGTGATCAATCAATTGTGATTACATCTCAGTCCTACAGGAGGTTAGTCACGGCTCGGATAGCTCAGTAGTAACGTCTCTGACTGTGAAGCTGGGTGACACGAGATCGAATCCGCCAGGGAGCACCAGTTCCCTCAAGATTACAGGTACACCTTGCTGACGAGTGCCAAGTAGCACGAAACCCGGGTCCAGTGTTTCCTGTCGACTACCTCCAACCACCATCTAATCTCAACTGCTGAGGAGTCCCATACTAGGACGAAACGGCCGTCCAGTGCTTCCAGATTTCCAACGGTGGTCTAACACCAATTAATTCATGATCTCAACCAAGAATATATGTATAATGTTAGTCCATAAATAATTCCTAACAGTTACCACCCAATTGTTCTTCACCCGGATACAACAATTATCATTATTTTATTATGTGATCTTCGCTAAACTAATTCTTAATTAGATACACTAAAATCACCCCCTTCATTCATATGATTTTTATTTATCTGATTCGCAACACTTATGTAAATTCTTCACAACCAGTTCAGTTATTATCTTATCAAATTCTAATTCCATTAATCTTATTTAAACCTCTCACAACCTCTAAAATTATCACACAATCTATCTTATTTGTTTCTGGACCTCATTTCATTACTGTTTCACTCACTCTGCTACGATTTTTAAAACTCTATCTCTAAATGACCTCACATTTGTTCTTACACAGATATATCTGTATAGTTATTATTGAGAATCTTTGTTATTTCTAATTCACTCCCCCTCATCAATAACAATCATCCTATCTCAATGTTACACTTTAATACACATCAGTGGTTGGAAGCCAGATGATGAGAAACCATAAAATCAAATGAATTCATATTGTTCCGTCTTAATTGTTGTTTGGGCTTTATTCACATTCATAAAGGGAACCAATTGTATGTATTTATATTGATTATTTCATCACTTGATATCAATCTATTTTTTATTTAGTAAGTCAAACATTTTTTACATATAAATGAAATATTCAACTCCTTAATCATATATTCAAGCAGCCATTGAAAAGCCACCTTAGTGATTAAGGTGTTTAACTCTCAACCAAAAAATTGTGAGTTTAAAGTGCACCCAAACTACTTTAATTTAAGCAGATGAATAGTATCACCAAGCCTCGCATAACTAGAATGAGATTCAAAGTACATGAATCTATATATGGTAAATGAATAAACAATATTATTCTATAAGCTGCCCCCAAATGCCCTGGTACGGTCGAGAGTGAGGAGAGTCAGCTCTCCCTCTACAAATGATCTCAAATGGCCACGTGCATACAACTACTGACATGGAAGTCCTACTCACTGTACTCTAACACTATAGATGTTGTTTACGTAATTGAGAGAACGAAAAGCGAATGTCCGTCAGGAGCTTTAACCGAATTGGTGGACACGGAGAGTCCACCTAGGGGAGTTGGAAAACCCTGATTTAAAACCAATGGCGTATATGGGATCCAGTATCCTGAAGGAACAAATGGCGTATGAATCAATTGTTGGTCACCTTCTAACATGGTACTGTATCTTCTGCCGTCGCTTCACTGTCTTGTGGATTAGACCTTTAGGTCAAACTCTCCATGTGCGACCTCCTATGAAAACTATCTGTTTCGGTTTGGGCACCTTGACAGGACCCTAGCCCTCACACAAGTCGAATGATTTATGTGGCGCATATCTATTTGGTGTCTTCTTGTACCAATGTTTATGTGTTCAAATAAATAATAAATTGACTCCAGGTATATCGTTTGCTGAGTGCTATTGAAACATACATGCTGCCAATTCTCGTATATAATCATCGACTTAAATCGCGTTAGCAAATAACGGAATTAAATATGTTAAATATGGTAATGGATTTCAAATACGTATATTTTAATACCAATCATTCAATAACGACCATTCGTTCGACCTAACTGGAGCCAGATTAAGAGCCACAAAAATCACTTGACTTGTGTGAGGGCTAGGGTCCTGTCAAGGTGCCCAAACCGAAACAGATAGTTTTCATAGGGGACCACACACGGAGACTTTGACCTAAAGGTCTAATCCACAAGGCAGTGTAGCAACGTCAGGAGATGCAGCACCATGTTAGATGGTGACCAACAATTGATTCATACGCCATTTGTTCCTTCAAGATACCGGACCCCATTTACACCATTAGTTTGGAATCAGGGTTTTCCAACTCCCCTAGGTGTATCCTCAATATCCACCAACCTGGTTAAAGCGCCGAACATTCGCATTTCGTCCTCTCAGTTTCGTGAACAACACCCGTGGTGCGAGAATGCAGTGAGTATGACTTCCCTATCAGTGGTTGAATACACGTGGCCATTTGAGATCATTTGTAGAGGGAGAGCGGACTCTCCCCACTCTTGGCAGTACCGGGGCATTTGGGAATCAAATCTCCGGGCCAGTAGAATCAAGGATTTTCGAATATACTCGACTTCATTCAGAGGGTGTGTACAAAACCTTAACTGAAATATGAAAAAAAGTCGTTTGTGAATAGTAAAATTTGCTTTCTATCATTCAACTTTATTTATCACACAACTAACTATCGAAAAAACCTCAAATTAGAAGGTGGACATAACAATGTGAAATTTAAATGGAGGACAAGGAGAGATAGGTTGCTACACCATATTATCAACACAGTAGGATGAAACTATCAAGACAGATAATGTTACAGAAATAAAAGTAGTAAAAGTATCAGTGTCGATAGAAAAGACTACACACAGACAATACGATTGACGAGAAATGATTGAGTATTTTAGGACAAAGGGTGAATGTGTTTGAACTATTTTGACCAATTATGAACCATATCTTCCAGTGACTTCAACCATTGGTTACGATAATCGCGTGAAACCTAATCAAGTAATCTATATATCTAGCATGACTTGAACCAACAGCCAATAACTTCCTGAAATGTTCTTATGTCCTGATTACGTTACTTCCAGGATTTCTTCCAAATACTCCTACACCAACTAATATCAAAAGTCAAGGCAAATGGCAGTTGAGCTCATGCAATAAATGTCCGAACCATCTCAGTTAATAATGAGTGTCCGCCTAAGAACTAGGACCAATTGAGAATTATAAAGCAGTATGAGGAATTATAATTATAATTTATAGTTGATGGTTAAAGTTAAGAATTAGATTTAGGGGGTGGGATTCATCACCAACTGACATAAACTAAAATGCCAAAACTCTATTTAGTCAAATAGATGAGTGGATTTCGCGCCAAAATCCAAGCCTTGTTATCTTATACTTGATTAGTCCGTCCATAAATTATAATCTCGCCGACTTTCGATTTTCACTGTTTGTGTTAATTGTGATTATCGTCCTTTAACTTCCTCCTAACTTACTCCTACACCAGTAGGTAGCGCACATCATGGCAGGTGATTATTGAACATGCACAATACACGCACTAAACAACGTAGTCTAAAGACGTTACATAATTTAGTTCATTGTTCTGGTATTTCCACCTTAGGATCTTACATTCAATATCAAATTTACTAATTTGATGATTATTATTGTTATTACTCAGAGTATTAGGTAAAGATGACGGTTAAGTTGACGAGATTGTGAACCTTTATCGACCAAGGTGATATAGATATGCGATACGTATGCCAAACCACTATCTTCCTCGGTGTAATGTTTACTGGTTTGGGAATAGATTATAAAACTTAAACTGAAATGTTTCATTACGTATGAACAACGTGATCGAGGTCATCTTGATTATCTTAGCCAAACGTTTGGAGTTGTTGGGTGACATATTTCAGAATTGGTCACTTTTTGTCTTCCCATAAATATCGAGTTTTAAAACTATTTTGTATTGTTTATTCTGCGAATTTATTCTCATATTGTCTATGTCTAATCGTTTGTGCCTCTATTACTGTTATCACAATTGATTGATCAGTGGGTGGTGATCGATGTCATGTGTGTCAAGTCCTTTTTAGTGCAGATCGAATGCTATCGACCAAGTTGCAATGTGGCCACTAGTCTAGGTGACTCGACATGTCGTACACTATTTTGAGATAAGATGGTGGTTGGAAGTAGTCAACAGAAAATCCTGTACGGGATCGAGTCCATCAAGGAGCATCAGTTCCCTCAAGATTACAGGTACACCCTGCTGTCGAGTGCCAAATAGCACGAAACTCGGGTCCAGGGTTTCCCGTTAACTACTTCCAACCACCATCTTATCTCAGCTGTTATCACCTTTATTACTACAGTATCTGCCTTGATCATTTCATGTTACTGTTTTGATAAGGTATGGCAAATTGAAACGATGCACATATGTGTCAGGTAATTTTCTTACAAACTCATATTCATAAAAAAGTTAAAAAAGAAACAAACAGATCAGTCTTGTCATCAACTTATTACTGTTGATAATTGGCGGGTTGGATAACTTGTAAAACATTGCTTATTCATTTTATTACAAACTAACACCATTTAATATATAATACAAGTTCATAATAAATATTAGTATGAATGGATTATGAAGATTAGTTTATATTACTATCTGATCTTAGAAAATCAGAAACTACTGAGCAGCTGATTCAACCCAATATGGGACTTCTCAGAATTGTATATTCACAACCAGACCTAGGGTCGAACTCAGGACCGTAGCTCCTGTCGTTAGTACTTAGCCTTAAACACATGAAACATTGAAGTTAAATCAACTGATTCTATGGTTAACCAGTCACAGTGAAACCTGAAGATTCTAAACTTAATCAGAAATGGGCTAGTGGATGAACACTGGGAAAGAAGTTTCAAACTAAGCTGAAACAATTGTCAAGCTTTTCTTTGTTTTCAATGATTGTTTAACTAAGGTTAGTACATGATATGAATGGTAGTTAATATCTTTTTTTTAAAAAAGTCAAGAAACTTACAAGATCATGGTTATAATTTTTAGATACTCCCTCCGTATTCACATTATTATTATTATTATTATTATTATTATTATTATTATTATTGTTACTAACTAGACAAGCTAGTTCATGATTCTGATCCAATCGATCATAGGTAAGATTTGCTGTTTGCATTAAAAATTTATGTGAATTTGATTGTGACTGTTGATAATGTCTTACAATTCCAATAGATTTATTTAATCTATCATTGGTAGTATCATTTGATGGACTAACAACATCTTCAACATTATCATCATCATCACCATCCATTATAACATCAACGGATGTATCACTATTTCCACTAATCTCTTTATCCAATTCATATTGATTCGTTGAATAATCATTGATATTATTAGTATTGAATGTATTTAATAATGATAATTTTGATTTTCTTGATTTTCTATCTGATTTATAATTAATCAATACATTATTATCATTTACTTCATCATTATCATTATCATCATCATCGCCATCGTTTTCTTCAAACTCTTCTACTTCATGTATAATATTTGATTCGGAATGTTCTAAACGACGTCGTAATTCTGCAATAACACTATGTAATTCAGTTAAACGATCTTCATAACGTGATACTTGGTTAGTTAATTCATTGCGTAATTGTTCTTTTTCACGTTGTAAACGTTGTACTTCACGATAATTCATATCTCGACTTGTCTATAGTTAATTAGTGAACAAAAGTATATATGTATAAAGTCAAACTTGATTGAAATTATTAATAATCAGATGGAATAAGAAATAGTTATTATGTATTCACCATAATTTAAAGTCCCCGGTTGCCCCCAAATGCCCTGGTACGGTCGAGAGTGAGGAGAGTCAGCTCTCCCTATTCAAATGCTTTCACATAGCCACGTGCATAAAACTACTGACACGGAAGTCACGAGTGTTGTTTACCGAGTTGATAGGAAGAAATGCGAATGTCCGTCAGGCGCTTTAACTGAATTGGTGGACACGGAGAGTCCACCTAAGGGAGTTGGAAAACCCTGATTCCGAACATGGTGAACATGGGTTCAAGGATCCTAAGGAACCAAATGGCGTATGAATGAATTGTTGGTCACCGACTACCATGGTACTGCATCTCATAACATTGTGGATTAGACATTTGGGTCAAAGTCTCCGTGTATGGCCCCCTATGAAAACCATCTGTTTCGGCTTGGGCACCCAAACAGTATTACAGCCCTCACATAAATTGAATAATTTATGTGGCGCATAACTGTTTGGTGCATTCTTGTACCAATGTTTGTGTGTTTAAATCTATAAATAATAAGTCTCAGTAATTTATAGTTGATAACTGAGTCATGAAGAAAACCAATGAAATAGGGTAGTTGTTTGAAATTCGAAGCAATAGCTCAGTAATTAAAGTATTTAACTTTTGATTTTTGGAGCATTTGGTACGGTTCATGGATACTTCAAATGTATGCGGAATTATGAACTGGATTATTAAATGAAAAAAATATTGAACAATCATATTATTTGGTACTTTGATATAGTAGGCTATTTTGTTTAGTACATATCTTTTCACATCTAGCTAGATCAATGAAAGCATAACAGATCTTTTTCCCGAAATATACGTTTTTCCTGGTTACTGGTTTATTATGCTCATTATCGCCTAAGATCATTGACAATATTCTTAAATGACATGATCTATAAATATTTAAATAATTTAGGGTCGTTCACAATAGAATGGAGTGGTTATGTATTTTGGAAAACTCTGAGTGTATTAAAATGTTAAAAAAAATAAATTAGTTGAGGTTAATAATGACACATTGATCGTTCTTCTCGTATATCATGGACGGATTTCCATATCCTGAAAAATGTATCAAGCCACTGATAACCACAGAGTACCATAAAGGATGGTGTGGAAGCAAGTTAGAGATATGTCCAAGAGAAAGAAGATGGTATGATATTAGTTGGTAGTAAAGTCAGGTTTTTAAATGTCTGAATCTTCTGAACACCTATTAGCGTACTCTTGTGCGGACATCCGTTTCTAACAAAACTTCTGTCTACAATGTTTCTATCAATCAATCATCATTTACTCGAGAGCTGTTAATGATATGCGAAGAGTTGACGTTCACCCTCTGATAACATACTAGAAGGAAACTTCTTGTTGAGAAACGTTAGTTATGAATAAGATCAATAATGGTGGTCATTACAATTTTGGAATGTAGTTGTTATTAATTGTGTTAAGTCTATAGCTTCAGATCCGTGGATAAATTTGGAATATGGTATTTTTAGGGCCACCACTCGCTGACTACTCTTTCTGTCTGTGAAAAGCTACAATGCCTGAAAATGCTGGTTAACCTCCGGGAACATCTCACGACCATTACACTTTAGTACAGATGGTGGCATGACTAATTTCTCATGAGCATAACGCTGTGACATTGTAAGTCTTAACCGAATGTGTGTTCTTTTAAAAAAAATGATAATTCACTCTGTGATTTTGGGTAGCCTACTTTTATGAGAGTTAAATAGGCTACATGAAGTTGACAAATAAGTTATGTATAAACCGGATGGTTTATGCCAAATATACATTCATCGGACTTCTGTTAAAGAACAGGTAACTTATAGGTACTGATACATTTACAAGAAGTTTCTGTTTCAAAGCTATTTATCATAGAAATAGGATCAGGCATATGTTAGAAAGAAACGGGGTCGATAAAGAATGAACCTTTAAAGGTAAGAGAAGAACACTCATTAAAAATTACCTGTAACCCTTGTAGTCTGTGAGACAGATCACGAATTTCGGAACGTAACTGAGCCGTCCGTTGTACATGTAGAGTATTCGCACATTCAAATAAGTGTCGAACATTATCTAAAAAGTGATTTGACTCAACTTCTTTTGATTTTATACCAAATGATTCTGCTTCTATGTGCCTTGGCAAATTACTTAATTTATCTACAGACTGAATATTGATTGCATTAGTCAGTTTTTGATTCTGTAAGTCTTTTGTAGAATTATCCATATTAGTGACAGATAATAAATTGAATTCATTTGTCATTGTATCATTTTCAAAATTATTTCTTATTGAATTCAAAGGTAATGGAAATATAATTTTATATAAATCAGGGAAATCACGTTGCATTAACAAGTGTAAACTTTGCGGTTCACCACAAAGATCTTGAGCTCCAGAATCATATTCTGCGCCTAAGTAAATCAACGAAAATGATAGAAAATTTTGAAAAGTCAATAAAACAAAGTACAACTCTGTCAAATAGGTTACAGTTGAAGTGGAAGGTGATAATTAATTCCACTTCAAGCGAATTCTAATCAAATGAATATTGTTAACGATAATTAAATACTAAAGGTTATAAAGTATTTATAGAGATGTAGGAAGATTGCATTATTGACAATATTAATTTAGACGCTGGCACAGAAGTGTGGATGACTAAAATTTGTCGGTTGCTGGAGTAATTCAAGGTAAATTATTTCTGAGGAGACCGAACTAGTAACAGAGTTAGCAGTGACGTTTTGTTCAACCTTAGTGGACAGTCGTGGGGCGAAGGAGCAACTGTCTGACATCGGTTGTACATAACACTTTCGTTCCCAGGTCTGTCCACTTCTATAGGGAAATACAAGACGTGCTATTTCGATGTCTTGCCTTTTCAGAATAATGTCGAATGGATAGCACAATTGCCAACAATACTGGATGTCCGTGGAAAATACTTTACTGTTGCCACACAACCTAATATACTCGGCATTCCTACGTCACTTTTTAACCTTATATTTGGTGTAACCACTATTCAAATGACCTGGATGACATGGTTAAACATAAAAAGAAAGTCGTTCCACTTAACATAGACACACCTTGATATAAAAGCACGACCAACACGGTCAAGAAAGACAGACAAAGAATTGATCAAATCTTATAACACAAGATTTTGACGCGAAAATATCTGGATAAAAGTATTTGAAAACATGCTTACTTTTTTGCTGAAACTAACTCATCTAATAAACAGATATTTGTACAGAGAGTAATAAAGTCCAAGTGATTGATAAAACTTATTAGTCCCTTTTAAGTTTATGTCCTAACCACTCAGAAATATCTACCATGCTTCGACAATAAGGATTTATCTATACACGAGAAAAATGTCTTGAATGTAGACTTCAGAACTAAGTATTTTTTTTTACATATTCCCAGAATAAATTACAATCACATCCGCATATGTTTTCAGAAAATAGGAAACATCAAAGTTCTTCTGTGAATGTAAATCACGATAAGAAAGTTGATATGATACTAAGCAAAATAATATATACTTGAATACCATAATACCATCAGTGTTTACCATGAAACAGAAGCTTAAATTTGTTGACATAGATTTATTAATGCTAATGAGTTCCCTTCTATAGGATTCTATTTCATGCATTACTTTCATCAGTTTATTCAACTTATGCTTGACTGCAATGAGTCAACAGAATGAGGCTCAATTACCTAACATACTGATATTTATTAAACTACCAATGATATTTAAAACGACTAATAACACAATGAAAGGTAGAAACTCCGGATTATACTGTCCTATACAAAACAATTGCTAAGTTTATGTTTGTTTACTTAACCATGAACTGGCTGGACAAATTCTTCGGAAAAATGCCCGGCAAAATATTTTAGAACTGTTGGTTAGACTTGAATTTGCTTTACAGTGGGTTGCTTTAAAAAGCAATATGTTCAATGACGTAACATTTTAAGTCTCAAAAGCCTATACAGACGGTCTTGGGTCACCAAAACAGGGTGTAATCAGTAAACGCAGTTAAAATAGTACTTGAGGTTAGCTTTAGAGTTTACTAATATCAACTGGTTGACATCATATATTGTTACAACTCACTACATTGATTTAATATGAATACAGTACCATGCATCAAAAGAAATTTTGAGCACTAAACTTAAATATTGCTTCAAACCAGGGTTATTTTTGTCAGTAAAGCACAGACTTGTTTTTACCTACCAGAAAATACTTTAATCACTCTCTATCATTAATTGCAAGTTACTTCTGTCTAATGAGTAAGGCATCCGTAACATGACATTTAAAGCTCTAAATAGGATGACTGTGCTACAGATGGTAATAGAAGTTACATGACGCCTTTTTACTACACGGAAAACTGGGTTCACTTGTGACCTAAATGAAGTCGATTACAATTTATCCCGATTCTCCCGAGATAACGAAAATCCTGACATTTAACTCACTGATTCTTAGCAACAGTGTGTTAGAATAAATTCCGTTTAAACTGATCAAAATATAGGTATTTTTTTACAAAATCTAACCTGAGTTAACAAGGCTGGTTTCGCTGGCAGAACTCTCGAGATTGACATTTTCGTTCATTTTGCGAACAGAGTTTTCATTCACTTCTTGTCCATTATTTTTAACCTCTGTATGCAATTTACCAGTTGTGTAAACAGGCCAACTAAATCCAGGTTGCTTATAATTTAGATGATGTGGTAAACCAGATCTTGAGAAATATATATTATCCGCTTCAGTTTGCATCTGAAAAACTTTTTCTCGACAGCTAAGGAACTCATCAAATGTAATGCACCCTTTAGTGTTAGCGCCAAGTGTGTTTATAATTTCCTCGGCACATTCTGCCATGTTTAGTTTCTTACACATATTGTATAAGTCTTCACAATCTAAGCACCCATCATTATTTGAATCACAGCTTAGAAACAATTGTCTCAGTCTTTCTTCTTCCCCTGTACTGCTACTATCGCTGCCACTAGATTTTATAACTCTTTGAATACGGAATAAATACTAACCTGCTTTTCTGATCAACACATTGTATGTCAGACATATCATGAAAATTGGAAGCCATTCAAACCCAGCGCTAGTAGCATTTGCGGTCGATAACTGGGCATGAAAATGAACTCTCAAGGCTATGATGGTTATGACGCATTTAAACGTTGATGTATGCCAAGTTGTTTGTATATAAATTTGCATGTTTCGTAATTATTTGAGCATGTGTATCATCATTAAGTGAAAGCAGTCAGATTCATCATGAATTTCAGCACTCAGTGAATGTAAGATGTATTGTACAAGTCACAAGTCACGGTTGAGAGATTTTAATTATTTATGTAAAATTTAATGCTGTCGAATAAAAAGCCAATGTTAGTGACTGAAAAGAGCTATCATTTGATGTCTCTCAATATAACTGCTTTTAGGCATAATGTCCTGAGACATCTACGCGCGCTTTTCAAACGAGAAGCTGACATGATTTACATTTATCAAACTTTTGCTGTGTTCTTACGCAACAAAAGTACCATTTCCGATATGAAGAAGCTATTCGGAGCCATGCGCTCGGTAGATTACTTTTTTTCGAGTTTCACCCAATTTAACAGTTAACTGGGAAAACAATAACGGTTCGTGATGACTCTTCCATTATCATGAACCTCAAAGACAACTCTGACATTCCTCTCAGTTTGCAGGACAACAATGATGGGATGCTCTGGGGAAAATTGAACAAGAAGTTTGAACATCCTAAAATAGAGCCTTTGACGGTCACATAGCTCACTCGAGGAACGGAATCTAAGCATCAAAATCACCCGAGGCTACTTCATGTAACACATAAGAATGATACCGACGTAGAGGATGTCCTGCTAGCTGGTCATTTACTGAGATCCGGAAGGAAAGTAAGATTACTGCCTGATATACCGTATTTTGAGCGCAATCTCATCTGAAACATCCCTGAGGAATCTCGCGAGTTTTTCCGCGGAAGAAATATCTTTGTGCAAGGTGTGCCGGAAAACACGGACCCTAGTCAAGCAAACTGTGATATTAAGAAATGGAAATATATCAAGCAGTCCTTGAGGCCCAAAAACATACTGACTCAACGTTTGACGAGACTAGTCAAGAAGGACGGTAATTCTAGACCCCGGCTAATGAAGATAACTTTCCCATCCTCCCATATGGCGGCTGCAACTCTGGAGGTATTTCGTACCAACAGACGTCGGTTGCTAGCTGGAACCCACATGCACCCGGATGGGCCATATGAAGCTAGGACCAAGCACAAAGGCAAGTTGGAGCTTACCGTTCTACTTGTGAACTGTCACGATGATGAAATAACATGTAGAGGACAGGATCTACCAATTCGGCAAACCTTATATGAGTGGGCTACTTGTCCATTCACATGAGGCTCATGCAAACAAACAGGAAGAAGCTCACGCGTTTCAAATTGGAAGCATAAACTGCTTGTACATGAACGCTGCGAGTGCACCAAATAAAATGGATGGGCTATGTGAACCTAGCAATGCTAATAATGCTCATCTGATAGGAATACCTGAAATTGGATAACTTCTCAGTTTACGGACCAGGAGCTAGCAATGCCTGGGATGTCTTTGTTTCGTAGCGACGGGAAGACAGGAATCGGGGGTGGAGTAGCCGTATACATGCGATCCTGCCTGGAGGAAACCAAGTTCACAACCATGAGTTTAACAATTTTGATGAATCCGTATGGTGCTCAGTAAGATTGTCTACCACTTCGAAGTGCCTAGTCGGGGTCATCTATAGGAGGCCCACTGCTGACGTCAAGTATGACAGTCGTATGCTGGAAGGATTTTCCAGCTCTACGCGTCTCGGATTCCCTCATACCCTGGTTCCAGGGGACTTCAATCTAACTACAGTCAATTTCGTGGAACATACGTATATTGGATGTGAAAACTCAACTGAAGCTCGGTTCTTCAACCTCAATGAGGATCTGAGATTATACGAAAATGTGAAGTCGGAAACTCGTTGGAGAAACAGTCAGACACCGTCACGCTTAGACTGTATATTTACAAACAAAGAATTTCTAGTTGACAACCTTTCAATCCTGGCTCCCATGGGTAACAGCAATCACGCCATTATAGCCTTCAGTCTCCCTGATGATTTTCTTTCCGAAAATGGATTGTGTCACCTATTGACTATCAATGTGTTTAATAGCGATTTATACAAGCAAGGTCCGTCATCCATCTAATTGACTGAAAAGCAAAATGTGACCCTTGAAACTTTTCACGTCTATTTTATTTTATTTCTGTTCATCTTAATATATGAAGTCTGCTTGTGTTCGTATTTATAGTAATAATAATAATTATTATTATTATAATTATTCCTAAACATCTAAATTCTATAACTAAAAACCAATTATCTCACTGTACGCTTGAATAAATTAACTTTTCAAATTCATTTTAGAACCACCATATATATATATATATATATATATATATATAACATAGAAATTTGTATTTGATTATCCTGTGCAGTTAATTGTGACCTTCATAGCATCATTCTTAATCATTATTGCACAAATGTTTCTATTAATATCTGGTTTCACTTGTATACTATTACATGAATCTAGATGTATTTATCCGAGGGTAGTGAATGACTTTTTATGTTGCTCTATTTCCTTTTCTTTTCTTTAAATTGCTGATTTACTTCAGAGGTCGATGTTCATTACACAATAATTATTATCATGGTTGAACCCTTTCACTACGTGTTCAGTTCTTTTATCTTTTTTTCCCATCTAAATAAATATTTTTCTGAATTTTACGTAGTTTGTAATTAAGACAATTACTTGTATTACACCTAAATTAACTTCTCAGACTCGCTTTATCTTCACTATGTATATATGACTCATACATATTGATATTTCATTATCCTTTTCACTCAATTGAGACTTTCATGGCATCACTCCAAAATATGACTGCACAAACATTTATTCTATCGTCATATCTTACTGCAGTAATAAGTAATTTTTTCTTAACTATTTTATATTGTTTTATTTTTTACCAATCTGACGATACATACATAGTCGTTTATTCTTGTTCTGTGTTCGTAAGTACGCCTATTAAACTATTTGCTTATTCCACGTCTCCTTTGTTTCTAGTCCCATATTTTCTTCCTCTCCTTCTCGATGCGCAACTCAATATTCTTCTCAAATACACAGAATCTGATTCATTATTATTATTCTCTTTTTCAAATATGGTAAATATGATGCTAGCATTATTGAAACTTATGTATTATTGCATTTTTGAAGAAACCCGAAATGGTTTCTTCACAACACATATTTACCCATAAGATTTTTGTGAATGATAATAATAATAATACCCCACCAACAACAGGCGCTGTAATTTCAAATGGTTGAATGTGTCAGCTTTACAAGACTATCTACAACGGGTGGATTGGGATGTCCACTCTCAGCTTGGTGTGGATGCTCATTAGTACTTCTTACTGCACACGCTCTTATATGCTACAAAGCATTCAGTTCCTCAAGCATCCTTGGTCGCATGGAGAGGGTTGATATCATTTACCTTGATTTCTTGAAAGCTTTTCATAGGGTCAACCATATATGTCTTATCAATAAGCTCAAACCATTGGGTATCAGACGACCTCTAATTGACTGGCTCTCTTCATAGGGTTAACTTCAAATGATCTCAGGCTATGAAATGTCCTGGTGAGGTCCACCTGGGCTCAGTACTAGGGCCTTTTCTCTTCTTGATTTATATAAATGGTCTCCCATAACAGACATCGTCAAACATTACTTTTTGCTGATAACGTGAAACTTTGGAGAGAGATACGCAACCAAGAGGGTATACAGGGACTTCAGGAGGATCGGACTCGACTTCAGAGTTGAGCAGACGATAACGGACTTACCTTGAACACTTCAAAGTGTAAAGTAGTCCATCTGCGACATGTTACAAACTACAGTTACAACTTAAGAAACTCCTCTCTGGTAGTATCCCGAGTCGAAAAGTATTTAGAAGCCCTAGTACCTTACAATTTGAAGTCTTACACTAAGTGTGACAGAAATGCCTTTCGGGCAAACCTTGCACCGGTAACATTAAGGCGCATTTTTGGTCAGTTTGACGGAAGAACTTTCCACATAATCTTCAACAGTCTTATTCGCCCCCATTTAGAGTAAGGAAACATAATATTTCCTCCCTCACTCCAAAAGGATAAGGACACTCTGGAGTGTATCCAACGGCGAGCCACGAAATCAGTTCGGGGACTCAAATTCAAACCTTACGAAGAGCGCCTACAGTCACTGAACTTTTACCATTACAGTATAGGCGTATTAGAGGTGACCTTCTAATGGCTTACAGTATCCTTAACACTTCTGGATATCCCCTTAAACACCTACTTAAGCTTAGTCCCAATACAAACCCAAGGAGTAACACCCGGAAATTGAGGATGGAACATAGCAGAACGGACTGTAGACACTACTTCTACTCCTTAAGAGCTATCGAATGCTGGAATTCGCTGCCGGCCGAGCTAGTCCAAGCGGCTGCTCAGGATTCCTTTAAGAGGGAACTTGACCTATTCTTAAGGACTAAGGATAACATCTTATCATGATTTACCGATTTCTTTTCTTTTTTCCCCTATTGTCGTTAATATACCTAGGTTCCTGCCTGTGAGTATTGGTGACCAACGGCTACTAGACATGGAGGGCCGTTAAGCGAAAGCTTCTTATATTCCGTCCACAACCGTTTGAACCATTTGAACTGTCACCATTTGTTATGAAAGATACAATCTCCTAGTCATATGGTCGAGACCATGTAAACAGAGGATCCAATAGTACCAAGAACGTGTCTTAGTCTTTTACTAGAACTGCGACTTATAACTGCCTTTGTTTTTGTTAAAATATGTGCAAGCAAGCCTCAGCGCGTGCTAAAATGGGTTGCCAGGCAATTGTGTTTCGTTAATCATCAATGATATTCTGGACGTTTTCTAGTTGCTTTTTGTTGCTAGCTAAAGGTCTTCACTGTCACTTATAAACGACCCGGGACCAAAAATGGTTAAAACTCGTAGTCACCTGCGGTGGTAAAAGATATCATGACTGTTAAACAAATCTTAATTTGTTAAGAACGCAACGGCGAAGAAAAAATATATTGCCA